ATAGTGTTTCCCTGACTGATTTTAAAGCACAGATAAACTGCTTAATACTTTTGCAATGTACTACTCTTATTTTATGTGGACTCTCCTTCATTGGAGCTTTTTAAGCAGGGGTTGGATGGTGATCTGTCATGGCTGCTTTAGCTGAGATTCCTGTATTGAATGGTTGGACTAGATGACCCTCGGAGTCCCTTCCAACTCTACAATTCGGTGATTCTATAATTTTATGATTCTATGATGTAAGGCAGGCTTCCTATAACAGGCCTAATGAGCTTTGGTTTTATTAAAACATTTACTTCCTGGCACTGACTTAAAAACTGCCTAGGGGACTAGCTAGGGAAGGGAAGGGAAGGGACAAAAAAAAATCACTAAAGTTGCAAGATCCAAGGCCAGTAATTTATATAAAGACCTCCTCCCCTGCAAGAGAAAGCCAAGTGACTCCAAGCGATGTAATGACACCAGTACTGAACAAAAACAATGGTTTGCTTAAATTATACAGTACTCTCATTCTGTTTTCAGGGCATTCTGTTTCTTTTTCTTCCAGTGCTGTTTGGGGAGTGCTGTTTTGGGAAGAGGGCGAAGTAATGTTTGCTCTTCTCCAAGCAGTTTGTCCAAGGCATTGTTTCAGAATAGCACTGCTTACAAAGTGCCTGAGAGGGTTACAAAAGCGCCGAGAAGGAGCTGGGATTGAAGTGTTTGCCATCCACACTGCTTACCTGGATTCGCAGGAAAAAAAGTTAGTTTGAGCTCTACGTCCATTTTGCGATACTACTTGGTTTATTTGTTTTATGATATCAGTCATGCTTGAACAACATAACAGAAGGGCAAATAGCAAGCCTGGGGGAAAGCAGTTCATTAAAGGGCTGGCTTGTGCAGAGGGCAGGAGGAGTTGCCTCCCTCCAAGATTACTTCCTAGCCACAATAACAGACGTTCTGAGCCGGTTAGAATGTGGTCTGAAGCCTAAAGTAGAATACTTTTCTAGGCCAAGGCAACGTCTCTAACCTTTCTTTCTGGCAAAGGGTAGAAGAAGCCATGGTGAGGTGCGGAAACTGGGACTAAAATACTGTTCCCTTGGTTCCATAAACTCAGCCCTAGTGCCCCTACTTAAAATCATTCAGAATACAGTGGTACATCAGGATGCGAACGGGATCCGTTCCGGAGCCCCGTTTGCATCCTGAATGGAACATAAGATGCGATGGCACGTCTGCACGTGCGCGGGTCGCATTTTGCTGCTTCCGCGCATGCGCGTGATGCGTGAGCGGCGAAACCTGGAAGTAACGCGCTCCATTACTTCCAGGTTGCCACAGAGCACAACATGAAAGCGCTCAACCTGAAGCACATGCAACTCGAGGTATGACTGTAGCAGTTTGCATGACCCACTAAGGAAGGTAACGAAATAATAACATTAAAAACAGAACCAACTGATTGCACATTTATACAAAATGCAGTTATTTGGCTTAATTAATTCAACAACATTTATGAACCTGATCCAGTGATACTAGCTTTTCAAAGTCACATCGTCATTTACACCTCTAGCACCCGCTGCTGCTCCCTTGTTTCTCAGTACCCCCTGCCACCCGCTTGCCTCTTTGTGCCCCCTATGCAATCTCCCCCCATGGTGTGGGGTGGCACACTGAACAATAACCAACGCACTAGAGATTCCTGGAAAGCCTGATGTCTCGCAGTAATTCTCAGTAGTACAGTTTTCCCTTCCTAGTCTGTTCCTGAGCAAGATAGGGTTAGAGCAGGGATGTCCAACAGGTCAAACTACTGGTAGATCCCCGGGAGGTTTTGGTAGATTACGGTCGATCACTGGATCCCTTTCCTTAGCATTGGTAAAATTGAATCTGGCCCCGCCCCCTCGCCCCACCTTCCATTGTTGCAGGATCGTCAGAACGGAAGACGGAGTTTACTCAGTGAGGCTGTTTGTTCCCCCAGCAATTTGTTGTTGAGTGGCTGTTTCTTTTTCTCCTCCAGAACCCTTAAAAATGGGGCTTTCTTCCTCCCTATAAAAGCTAAACAACTTTTTCTTGTACCCCCCAAACCAGGGTTTTGTTGTTTTAGTCATTTAGTCATGTCCGACTCTTCGTGACCCCATGGACCAGAGCACGCCAGGCACTCCTGTCTTCCACTGCCTCCCGCAGTTTGGTCAAACTCATGCTGGTAGCTTCGAGAACACTGTCCAACCATCTCATCCTGTGTCGTCCCCTTCTCCTTGTGCCCTCCATCTTTCCCAATATCAGGGTCTTTTCCAGGGAGTCTTCTCTTCTCATGAGGTGGCCAAAGTATTGGAGCCTCAGCTTCACGATCAGTCCTTCCAGTGAGCACTCAGGGCTGATTTCCTTCAGAATGGAGAGGTTTGATCTTCTTGCAGTCCATGGGACTCTCAAGAGTCTCCTCCAGCACCATAATTCAAAAGCATCAATTCTTCGGCGATCAGCCTTCTTTATGATCCAGCACTCACTTCCATACATCACTACTGGGAAAACCATAGCTTTGACTATACGGAGCTTTGTTGGCAAGGTGATGTCTCTGCTTTTTAAGATGCTATCTAGGTTTGTCATTGCTTTTCTCCCAAGAAGCAGGGTTTTTCTCCTCCCTAAAAAAATACTTGGACCTGAACCTCCCCAAAACGGGGGGTAGATCACTGCCAGTTTTTAATTCAGTAAGTAGATCGCAGTCTCTTGGGAGTTGGCCACCCCTGGCTTAGAGCACTCAGAGAGAGTCCCCAGGGAAGCTAAATGAATAGGTTTCCCACAACCAACTTTTCCACATTTGTGGCCGACGTTCCTCCAATGCTCTCATCTTCTATCAACACTGGCAACGTAAGAATACAGAACTCATATGACACAAGTGGTATGTTTCATGGGAATATGATAGGCTGGATCAGGCTGCACAGGGTGGTAACTCAGGAGGATTAACTCCTGCCTAGTCCCTGGGAACTGCCATATATCGAATCAGGCTGTTGGCCCATCTAACTCAAGTGTTGTCTACTGACAGTAGCTGTCCAAGTTTTCAGGCAGGAAGAGCCTTTCCCAGACCTAACAGCAGACCATCAGAGTGATGCAGAAGGCAGATGTGAAATGCTTTATAGGGCATGGCAAACTATGGAAAAGGAGGACATGAGCTGCAGGACATCCATAGCCATGCCCTTTTGAAGGTGCTCCACTGGCTCCATCTGGCGTATGTGCCAGAGAGGCTGAACAGGCATGCAACTAACCACTGAAAACAGAATTGTGAGCTTATTCTTCTAAAGAGATGGGAGTTTTGTTAGTAGGAAACATTCTGTGTTCTTGCTATGAATCTGATAGGCACAAATTGACATGCCCCAAGGTTATGGTGGCTGATCACACTCTGGTGTTTGGTAAAATAGGGAAATTTCACTGAAACTAATTTCTAAGTGTTGGAGACTGTGATTCCGGCATAATGTGCCTGCATTTCAATGCATATGTTATCTCCCATAGATTTAAGTGAGTGAGAGAGAACACTTTTCGTTCCTGACACCTGTCACATTCTGGGAGTACTATAATTATCTCTCCGTTACATCAGGCATTGCAAACATTATATGCAATTTCGTAGGCATAGTTATTGCTGCACTCTGTGCAATATAAGTGCATTCGCACTGTCAAAAGCATAATAAAAATACCTTCCATTGTATGGTTCTCTGGAGTTCAAGAAGAATTAGTATGGAAATTATATACACCTGAAATACCACACATAGTTTTCTTCATGTATATGGTTAAAGTAACTGATGTATCCATGAGTAACAAAGCAGTTTTCTTTACTTGTACAAGTAATAATGTTCTCCGATACGACCCCTTCATTTCCATCTTTAAGGTGGGAGTAATGCTTTTGCTGCATAAATTTATTCCGCCTCAATCTGCCGATATGCCTCCTACAACAAAGCATCTCTCCGTAATTGTGTATCTGGCATGGTAAATCCTATTCTGCATGAAAACTAATGATTGAGATTGCAAAAGATCCACATGGGCCTGAACATTCAATTCTGGCTCCATAGATGGTACATTAATGGGATCGCATTTTCCATGTACTGCCTGCAGTTATCTCATGATAACCTACATCTAAAATTTGAACCACCTTTCTGCTTCCTCCACAGTTGTTCCCCCTTCCCGACACACAAATGCAATTATGTGGGAGAAAACATCACCATGATGTCCGTGTCCACATGCAACTGAGGTGGAACAATCTGAACTATGAGGTTTCTGAAGTGCACGGTCCGGCTTTGTGCAACATCAATATGCTAACAATCCACCATTCCTACTTTAAAAATAAATAAATTCTGGAGTTTTTCATGCGACTTTGCCACAGCTTTCATTTTGCTGAAAGTTTGGTTTCTTACAGGTTACCATTGCATACCAGTGCATCTTCGCCACCATTAAAACCACTGTGTGTAACAGAATTGAGCAGTTATATTAAGATGCCTTTTTGTGTTGTGATTTAATCTGTGTGCACTGGTGTGCACTGGTAAGGCAAAAGAAGAAGGAATGTTCTGAAAACTGCAGCAAATGATGCATGCCCGTCCATTCTGAAATAAATTTTAGAAATTCTCCAATTTAAACTGGAAGGCAGTAGCACAGAACACGGAGCAAAATGACCTCATAAAACAAGACTAGAAAGAAACAGGGGAACTCCCAGTTATGCCTAGTTGTTACAGTGTGCATGGAAATCTACGTAATCTGAGAAAAGCAATTCTAGGTAGTGCTTTCCTAGATATTAACCACATTTCTGCAGGGCCATTTCCCTCTACATTTAAGTGTTTTAACTTTAGAATAAAACCCATCGCCATGCCTCCCTGCAACATGGGTGTACGATTTGCTTACCTTTAAAATGGGGCTGGCCAAGAGGTTGTGTTATTATTTTCCACAATCAGAAGCTGGAGCGGCCTGGAATGACTCAGTCTCAACACCCATTCTTCTTCGTTCACACATTACTAGCATTGCTTAAAGGGGAAAATAAAACACAAAATGGGTTTTATACTTACCGTTACTTCCTAGTCACAAGAATGGCTTTGGATTCTACACTACATGACTGGAGCTACCTCCATGGTACCCTCTTGAAAGGAAGAGGGAGAAGAGAGAGGAAGAGGCAGAGCTTGGATGGTTAGTGGGAAACCACAAAGTGTTTATTAGTCTCAATCCTGCCCTCTACTGACTGGAGGCTCAGAGAGGCAGCAGAAGGCTGAGGGGAAAAGGTTGTTAAGAGCCAGAATTGCCATGGAGGCTGCCAGTTTTGTACAGTAAATGCATTGCTTTTTTTTCGGGGGGGGGCGCAGGGCTATGCATACCCCTAAACATTTTGTGAATCTAACTTTGGCCTCATTGAGGGGCATTATTTCAATATGAGTAGGAAAATGAGAGTACCCCTAAACATATTTTTTTTAAAAAAAAGCACTGAGTAACTGTATTACTGTATAGTTGTATGCATTTGATCCCCTTTTTAAAAATACCGTCTTTAGTTTGTTGGGATTTATTTCCTCCTTACGTTACTGACTGCCAGTTGGCCATGCCTGTTTTGTACTATTTATTTTTCATGTATTTTAAATGTTTATAGGCTACCTTTTCGGATGAAGTCCTTTCATTTGCTTTCATCAAGCAAACAAGAGTGTGACAGCCAGCGGTTTAAAAAGAAGAAGAGGAAGAATTGATACATTTCAGAATGGTGAATCTGGTAGAATGAAAAAGTAGTGAGACTCAAGTTTATTATCAACTTTGTATTAATCTACACTTCTTGGTACTCCATCCCCTAGGCCATAAACTGCTCTAAAATGCACTGACAGCGTGAACTTAGTACAAACTCCCAATTTTTTTTAGATCTGGGCTCTTATTAACACTTTGGGAGGGAGCCTCAAGCTTCAATTGTAAACCAATTGTGGCCTCATGATAAGCACATAATTTTGCCTACGATCAGGATGGAAGATTCTGCACCCTGGAGATAAGCAGCAGCAAGATGGAAGACAAATATTGACAAAGGAGATAAATCAAGCTGTTGTGATAATGAAATATAATCGTATGTTATTTTTAAAAAGCCACAGTCAAAATGGACATATTTCTCCTGCTGGGAAATATTGAGCCTTCAGGAAAAAGAAAATTACCTTCTTCTTTTTTTTTGGTCAATTCTCTGTATTCATACCTGAGAGTGAAATAACCAGTATCCACATGAGCAGACAGGGGCTGTTCTTCAAACTATTTGTTTTCTTGCATCTTCTTCACATTAGATTGACTAACGACAAGCAGGGCAGCTGTTCAGAAAGGTTTGCTTCACATTTGGCGAGTCTTTTATAACACACACATCCTGTGCTCACCTGTACCACTGTGGACCCAGGCAGACTTGAAACCATGTTAACAGTTTGGCAGCTTTCCTTCATGTCTATTCACCTACCCAGCTGGAGGCCTTAGCACTAACAAGCCACTGATACATGCTACAGCCTTAACTTCCTAGGCTTCTAGGCTTCTTTGTTTTCTGAAACAATAGCAACAATTATGACAGGTGCCGTGGAGGATATAGAAGAAAAGCTTGACTATTCAGCTGCAAGGATTCTGTGGAAAAAATCGGGAGGTTACATAACTCCATACCCTCCGACATTTCTCTGTTGAAAATAGGTAAAGGTAAAGGGGACCCCTGACCATTAGGTCCAGTCGTGACCGACTCTGGGGTTGCGGCGCTCATCTCGCTCTATAGGCCGAGGGAGCCAGCGTTTGTCCGCAGACAGCTTCCGGGTCATGTGGCCAGCATGACTAAGCCACTTCTGGTGAACCAGAGCAGTGCACAGAAACACCATTTACCTTCCCGCTGGAGCGGTACCTCTATGAAAATAGGGACGTCCTAAAGAAAAGTGGGACATTCCGGGATGAGATCAGAAACCAGGATGGCTTCTGTAAATCTGGGACTGTCCCTGGAAAATAGGGACACTTGGAAGGTCTGTAACTAGAGAGCCACAAGTTCCCTTTTCCCAAGAGGCAATAATTCACTTGTATGGGAGAAGGTAAAGGAACGCTTTGGGGAATAATATTGAGTGGAGGATAAAGCCACCATCACCCTAAATGACAGTAAAGCAAGTTTGAGCCAAGCTTTGTTTGATCTAAGCTGCATCATGGATTTTGTTTCTTGGTTACACTGCTAGTACAGGCATAGACAAACTTGGCCCTCCAGGTGTTTTGGGACTACAATTCCCATAATTCCTGACCACTGGTCCTGTTAGCTAGGGATAATGGGAGTTGTAGTCCCAAAACATCTGGAGGGCCGAGTTTGCCTGTGCCTGGTCTAGTACGAGTAATTGGGAGATTGGACTATTGATAGATAAGTGTGATTGCTTATCACACTCCTTTCGCCTATGCCAATCAAGGTAGGCTCTTCTCCTGACCTACACACATTCATTGCAACATGTGTAAAAAATCCTGCATGTGTATTTGCAGAAACTTCCTAACACATGTCCTAGAGAGTGTGCATAAGTTTTGGTGTCATGATCCCAGAGTCCAGCAGTGATCATGGGATTGGGGAGCCAGGGACATGAAGTCTGCGGCTGACTGGCAGACAAGATCTTCCTTGACCAAACCCACAGGGCCCTGGCCTATAAAATCATAGCCAGGCCTCTCACAGGCACCTTCTCTGAAGGAACTGCCTGCCTCCCAACCTCCCTCAATGATTCAACTGCAGAGGGAGAACAGCAGGCTCTATTCACCAGGCCATTTTCCCCCTGCAAAAGGTGTTTGTGCATTGGGCAAAGCAGTAAAGCATTTCTAATAACCTTTGGAAGGGTTGAAGCAGTGACATACCTGTAACTGGAGAAGCCACCCTGGGAATGATGCTACATGCTCATGGGAAATGTGTGCCATATTTTGAGTTATTTTGACAATATCACAAATGATCACCCTACTGATTATTCACTCTGACTGTCTCTGAGTGTAGCAACAACAAAAGAGTTAGACAGTTTTCTTGTGCAAGGTTAAATGTTAGAAACAACACAGCATTTTAATTAGAGGCATCTGTTCTTCAGGAGACTGCCTTCCCCATTTATCTGTGATAAATAATCCACTTTCTCTTTAGTCTTGAACTCTGTTCCTTTCAAGGGAACCATTCAGCTAAATATAACATCTAATGACAAAGTATTTTAACATTTAAAAACCTTAATTGGTTGTTTACAGTATGTCAACTTAGCAACATTTTAAAAAAAACAAAACACAACCACCAATATTTTGAACAGAGATGTCTGTTTACTTCAATTTTGTGTGAATCAGTATGTTTCATCCAAGGCTATTGATTATGAAACTGGGCTTATTCTCCAAATAAGATGTGCTTCTCCTATGGTTCTTTAGCACAGCTCACTCTGAGAAGTTTGGTTGGCTAGGTCTTGGACAAGGGGGAGAAGATAGAGAGAGAAGAAGAAAGAAGAGAGAGAGAGAATCTCAAAGGAGCACTCAAACAAATAGAAATAAGTGGAAGGCTTGTGTGAAAATGAAACAACCATTTTTAGTTGTTACCTACTGTATCCTACACCAGAGGCATTATAGGACCACAGTTCTGGTTAAGGGTGTGTTGATGAAATTACATTCTGCTATAATAATGGTGAGAAAGTAGTACAGTTAGAAGATATTTCAGCAGACTGCTTTGAAACTTGGCTGTACTGTATAGGAAATGATGATGATTGTCCATGCCAAAACTAGGACAGAAAGAATAACATCTGCCTCATTTTAAATGAGTTAAATGTTTGACAAGTAACTTTGTGAAGGTGACATGTGAGGGAAATTTTTCATCCCATAGACTTTGTTGGAGTGGCTTTTCAAGAAAGCAGTGCATGGTTAAACTAGGGAACTTGCCCCCACATGAGGCACTGATGGTCACCAACTTGGATGGCTCTAAAAGAAGATTAGACAAATTCATGGAGGACAAGGCTATTAGTGGCTACTAGTCATGATGTCTATTTTTTCCCTCCACTGTCCAGTTGCTAGGAACTGTTGTATTCATGTCCAGCTCGGAGGCTTCGCACAGGCCACCATGAGAACAGGATGCTGGACTAGATGGAGCACTGAGCTGATCCAGCGGGCTTGATTTATGTCCTTGTGTTCTCAAATGTGAGGGCAGGTGGAAAGAGAATTTGGTTGCAAAGATGGCCCACAGGAAAAAGGTTGGATCAGCCTTCTCCCAGTGCTTCAGCTGTGAACAAATTTCCACCCACAGAGCTACACACACACAACATGCAAGGATACTGATATCCTCTCACAACAACAGGGGCTCATTGGGGGAGCCAGAGATGTCATTCTGGAGGCAGCCATGTGCTCATCAGGGCATGGGGCAAGATGGTGGTGAGCTTGAGGAAGTTCCAGACTCGTGGCAATGTCCCTGCATTGCGTGTGCACTGTGGGGCTGCTGCTCCTACCACCTCACCTCATCTCAACAAATGCAGCACTGCTGGAAGACTGCCTCAGCCTCCACACAAGGCACCATTGCCACATACTGTATTACTGGACCCTGAGATGCACTGAAACCTTGCATGGTTGAATTAAACCTTGGTGTTCAAATGTTTTGAGACAGATGGTGCAACTGCTTGTCCTAGACACATTCACGTTTAAGCATTCTCACCCCAACTATCACACAAATGGTTCAAGTGTGAAATGACCACACTGAGCTCTCCTCTACAGACATTGGCCTATAAATGTCAATGGAAGATACATATTTATATACATGCAGGAATTCTTCCACTGAACCTAATGATGGGACACCCCTTTTTGACCTGGGAGCTACAGATGTAATACAAGCTACAATCCTGTGCTATAAGGCTGTATTTAACTAAATAGGACTTACTTCCCAGAAGGTTTGTGCTGTAAGCCCATTAAATATCCTAAAATATCTTCTGCATGGCTGACGGGTTTCCCCACAACATGGTAGCTCAAAGAAAAATACCCTGAGAATCTCATCAGAAAGGTTTCTTTAACTAACCCGAAGCTGCCGCCGCAGGATAATTTGAGCGACTGTGCTTAATAACCAGCGATGTGGCCTACCTAGATCCATGTCAGATGAAATCCAATCCATTTTTCTTCTGCAATGCATCAGGGAAATTAAATTGTATCTGTTACCATAGGAACATCTTGGCCAATTGCTTGAAAATAAATCTACAAGAA